AACATTCTCTATCTTAGACGCTTGACTTGGATAGGGATCAAATTAGTGGATTATTGGACACATGGATGTAAACTGCAAACTGACTGCAAGCATTACTATAATTCTGTTTTTTCTGCAAGCATTACTATAATTCTGTTTTTTCTGAGGTTTTGCACCACATAGGCACCATGTACATTAGGGTTCTTCTGCATACTGAGTTGCCTTTTTTGTGTGCTTTAATGTTGGAAGAAAATGTGAAAATATAATACAGTACAATTTAACACTAATAGTATACAGTTGTGTTCAGAAGTTTACATACACAGGGGCATGAATGTCAGGATAAATTTTTCTTTGAAAACTAAGAATTGTATGCACAAGTTTGGATTTATTTTGGATTTTCCCTAATCCACCAAGGGTCAAAGATATATATTAAGTTAGCCTTCTTTATCCATCTCAAAACCGGTTTTGATGTGCGTTTAGGATCATTGTCATGTTAGAACACTCAATTGTGTTTAAATTTTAACTGTCTGACTGTTGATTGGATGTAAAGTTGAAGAATTTTTAAAGTAATCAGTTTTCAATATTCCATCCCCTTCGTGTAATGTACCAGTACCACAGCAAAACATCCCCAACGCATGATGCTATTGACATCATGCTTGACAAACTGGCACACTGTTCTTAGGTTTGAAAGACTCAGCTTCACTGCTTTTCATTGTGGCCAAATACCAGAATCTTTGTTTTCGTCTGACTATAAAACTTTTCTCCTGAATGTATTCGGCTGGTCCTTGTGGGAAGCTGCAAATTTTAGTTGAGCAGAAGGTGCCAATTTTAGAGCAGGTGCTTTTTTCTTGGTTAGCACCCTTTAAGTCCAGGGCGAGGCAAAAATGGGTCTTTGGGTCTTCTTACAGACCAAGGTCTGTAAGAAATAAATGTAAATCCTGTAAACTTTCAGTGTAGTCAGTCATGATTTAATAATGATGATAAGAATTTAATAGGCCTTGGCATTGTAAAAGACACTGTAGAACCTTCAGTAGCACTTAAAAGATTTAAGTTACTGTATGTATATAATATATATATTATATATTATATATTATATTTTGGCCTTCTGTGGATTAGACAAAATCTAAAATAAATTCAACCTTGTGCATCCAATTCTTTTTTTTTTTTTAAATAATTCAAAATATATGCTGTACAATCATTCCACCGAGGAAAAAGAACAGTTCAAAGAAATCAGGAAAGTCCCAAATTACCATGGCATTCACGACCATGATGAGAGTATGTAAACTTTCAACCACAACTGTTTAGTTTTCAGTATTTCCGCTGAGTTAAACTGACACAAATAATAATTATGTCATAAATCTTAAAAGATTTTTGTTTTTCATTGTATGTTGGTGAGCAAATAATTCTAATTAAAAAGTTGATTAACAATGTGCACATAGATGAAGCAAATAAATGTTAACAGTAGAAACTGAGACGGATCTTTTCATTGTACACATTTTGATGTTACAGTAGGAAACCTAAATGGCTAATTAAAGCAGGGCTAGATCCCATTTAAACGAGTCACTTTCAGGGTTTGGTATGTAGGTTCACAGGAAAGATGGGACACTTCTTGGAACAAAACCATTGTTCACATCACCTTTTCCTGCTAAAGTAAGGCAAAATTGCTTGTAGGGGTGCGGCTATCAATTATTTTAGGGATCAAGTAATCTATCGATTATTCAACTGATTATTTGAGTAATTGATAAGAAATACTTTTGTCTTATTAATGAGCAATAATAAATAATCAAAAGAGAAAGAACCAGCAGTGCATTGGTTTCCATTTTACATACTGCAATGCTTTAAAGTTTAACTGCATACAATAATATTTACATAAATA